CCCCCCCACATCCATCCAGTAACCCATAGTTGTACAAATATAGAATATTATTCTAGTACAGTAAATTAGTTTGTCTTGGGAGAATTATTAAAAAAGAGAATTTTTTTCTGGAAATATTTACACCATTTGATGCTCATTGCAGAAGTCCAGCATCAAATACTACTGTGTTTACACTTCATCAACACAGGGTGGCAGTGTAGCACTGCAGCCTCATGGTGTTACAGACGAAATTTACCTGCTTCACAAAGTGTACATAATTTATACTCGTAGTTTAACAAAGTTTAAATACAATTTAATTAGATATTAGCGAAGTTGTGAAAAGTTGTAAATCACCATAATAAAACTCATATATTTAAAAAAAAAAACAAAAAAAAACGTGTCAGCAATTTATTCTACTCTGGAAAGCTTATTCTCTAGTTTATTTTACTATAATTCTGGTATTTTTTTTAAATCCTTCTTAAACTTGCAGCTGTACTCGCCAACACTATGGACAGGACATATGACAGGAATCTCCCTGTTAGCTCTCTGATTATGTCACGGGTAAGCTGCATCTACATTAAATGGACCATATTTAGTTTTTTTATTTATTTGCTGTAAACTTGATTTTTCATGGCACACTGTTTTCTGTTTCAGTTTGTGGACAACATATCATCCCGGGAAGAAATTGATCAAGCAGAGTACTACCTTTATAAGTAATCAGATATCATTTTTACATCTCCTGCATCTGTGCCAAATGTCTGCTGCTGCTTTTGGTTTTTGTGGTACCAGTCTGTGTGTTTTTGTTGGACTGAACTGTCTGTTTGGTTTGTCTGTTTTGGTTTATATTCAGTCACATGCTCTTCTTTGTTCGGGGCAACTCCAGACCTTTCCTGTTTACTCCTTCCTCTGGAATCTGCACCCATTCTTGTGATGGCAAGATTTAGTGTGTTTCCCAACTGCACTCTAGTTCAGGGCACATTCATTTTCATAATCGGGAAACACTGAACGAGTTTAGATGTGCTTCTGCTGATATATTCTTATTCCTATCTCTGATTTCCAGGATAAAGTTGTGGTTCAGCAGCTGAAACTGTTTACCGTATACTTGTCATGTGATTTCCTCTCTTCCTCTTGTTGTTGTGTTTGTATCTATTTCTATTTTAAAGCATGTGAAACAACTTTTTTTCCCGTAAATTTCTTTAAGGTTTCGTCACAGTCCAAACTGTTGGTACCTGCGAGACTGGACCATTCATGGCTGGATCAGACAGTGTCTAAAACATGGGGCTAGAGATAAGGCCTTGCACACACTTAAAAACAAGGTACACTATAATATTCACTCAGTTTATGCTTTGGGAAATAAACTACGCTGAGAGCACTGTTTGGGCCTTGCATATGAACCTTATCTCAATGATCGGAGAGGAAATCTGATCAAGGCTGTCATCATGAGACAGCACAGACTCATTGTGAAGCACTGAGGCGTGTTTTCAAACCGATCTGACCAGCACAAATAATGTTAAACATGGTTGACATTTTCAGCCCAGCGCTTTTTTTCAGTTCCTGAATGCGTTATAGTATCTGAGCATCCCTGAATCACTCCAGAAACAGATGTCAGGTAGCCAGTGACGCATTTACAGTGAGGTAAAAGCGATCACCGCTGTAGTTGTTTTGATTGGCGGCATACAACTCTGACACAAGAGCTTTCATTGTCACTAATGCACTGAGAAGCAGTCTTATTGCTGCATGTGATATACACCTTCGTCATTAAATAATGTAGAAAAAAAAATTATGTTTTTCCATGATGCCAATATTTTATCTCTGTGTGCAGATCCAGTATGGAATATTCCCAGATGACTTCACCTTCAATCTCCTCATGGATTCCTTCATTAAGGATGCAGACTTTAAAAGTAAGACCTAGTTTAAACAACAATTTTCATTTAACCTTTGGGAAGCATAAGCACCACACAGACTACAAGGCCAACCCCTTGCAGGTTTCCAAGCACATTCTTGTTTGCTTGAAATGTTCAAATCACCAAAATCTGATTTCAACATTTCTTTCCTTGTTTGTAAAAGACGGTGGTAAAGGGAAGCTTGTTGTTTCTATTTATTTATGTTTTCTATAATAACATTAGACCGTAAATAATTGTCTTGCAGAGCCGCTGTTTCAGTTGAATGTGAAAGTTTTGATTCCATTTGCTAAAAGTGCTTATATGCTGTAAAGTTTCAAAACAGTAGCTCAGATCTGATGTTGTTGAATTACTTTTTAGGTTTCGTCTGTTAGTTTCCTTTATTAGTGGTTTACAAATGTCGCTATTGTGACGTAGCTCAACAGTTTACAGCCTTGCCAGATGAACTCTCAATGCCCCGTCATGTTTTGTACAACAAGTGATTTGGATTAAAACCGGGTGGGCGCATAGAACTAATTTTGGGTGGTTTTGGATCTTTTGCCATTAAAAGAAAATTACAGTGTCCTTAATTATATACTCATCCACGACACTCCAGTTGATGGTTGGCAAATTCTATGTAAAGGACTATATAGTGAGCTAATGGCCAGCCAAGATTTAACTTGGTTAACAGTGCCTAGAAAAAGAATTTGCACAATAAAACACAACGTATCAAAAATCAGCTAAAAGAATCGATGTCCTGTGAATATGCTGAGTGTAATTAATAAATACTTTGGGGAACTTCATGTTTCAATACATTGCTGTCATACACTTTGCTTTCATTTTGCAAGTTGTATGACACCTTGTTTGTGTCATTTCGCTTTATGCACAGTTTACAATATACTATAGACCACTGGTTTTATGCTCCTTTTTCTGGGATACCAGGATTCTCTGCTATACAGGACATAATCATAGTGCAGATTTGGACACCACTGTAAAATGGTGAACTCACCATATACTGGTAGTTTATCATACAGCTTCTTCTCACTTCCAAGAGTTTATGGCGCCGAGTATGGCAGCCTCATCGCGAGCTCCCCCAAGCAACAGCTGGTTTTAGTGTTTAATTTTCCTTTTCCTTTATTTTTTCTCCCATTCTTATATTTTGCTTGTTCTTATGTTATTGTATTGTATTTTGCTCACCCCTGTTGCTTGTGAAGCTTGGACACAAGACTTTCACTTGCATGTGCTGTACCAGTGTACCTGCACATGTGATGTGACAATAAAAGTATCATTTATTTAACAAAAACTAAGTGCAGTGTAAGTTTTAGATTTCTCCTAGCAACCCAAACAACTCAAACTTATTTTTTCTTGTTTTTTGTACTTAACTTGTCATGAACATTAACATTTAGCATGCTGAGGCCTGCAGATTCTGAGATGTAGCTCTTGGGTTTCTCTGAGCATTGCACAGTGTTAGCTTGGGGTGAGGCTCCTGGGAAGTTTGGCACCTGTCTTGACGGTTTTTCACAAGTAATTAATCTTTTGTGTGAACTGGCAGAGGTCAGATTGTTTGGAAATGGCCATATAAGCCTTCTCAGATTGATGGACAACAGCAAGTCTTCTCTGAGATCAGTGCTGATGTCTTTTCTGTGTGGCATTCTGTTAACACACATCTGAATGAACTGCCAAATCCTCTTTTTTTTTTTTTCATCTCTAGACCAAAAAATATAGAGGCGGTCACACATATAATCAAATAGTTGTGTGCATTTGATTATGAGTACCTGGCTGCTACTTATCCCCTTAGTTCTTATGTAAGCAGTAAGAGTTTACTCAGTTTTTCACACACAAGCTTGCTCCTATCCAGATTATGAAACTTCTGTAATATAAAAAATGTTTGTCATATAGAGATATTGGGAAATGTTATCTGAGAATGTTTGTTTGTTTTTTATAATTGTTCAGGTGCGTGTTCTGTGGTTGAAGAGGTGATGCTTCAGGAGGCTTTTGATCTTCCCTCCACTCAGATCCTGTCTCTGTATGCTCTGGGCAGTTACCTAGCAACCAGACCACAACTTGCTGTGAGTGAATCAGCAGCTCTGAAGGTGTTTAGGACAGCTGATGACTCTAGAATATTCTTATGACTGGAAATTGCAAAATCAATTTCCTGTGATTCAAAAAGGGGCATCTTAGGGGGTTTCATTCTAAACTTTTATACATTTTTGTAAAAAGAGATGCCCGATGCTAATTAGCATGTTGCAGTAGAAGTAATAAAACACTTGTTCTTTGCTGCGATCAGGTGTCAGAAGAACGGGCTCTGGGGGCATCGCTGCTTATCTGTGGACAGAAGCAAGACAACACCATTGGCCTCAGTGCTCAGCTGCTTGGCAATGCTTTCCTCGGTAAGTGCTTGAGTTTCTTTTCTTGCATTATTTTAAGTAAATTTTTTTTGCTGTGATTGATAGTTTTGTTTTTTCTCCTGTAGCCTTTCATTATGCCACTTGTCTCATTTGTTTTCCTCCTTCTTCATCATCCAGGCAAGGTAGAAAATTTAAAGGGCATACATGCCGTCTTCAAAGGGATGCCTCTCTTCTGGGGTCGAGGATATCTGGGCAGAGCGCTGGCCATTATGGAGAGAGTGGCTGCTGCTTCTAGTGATGTCAAACTGTCCAAAGATACAGTAAGGGCAAACAAATCGTGCTTCATTTTGTGTGTTTTGTGTTAGGGTTGAACAACAAATTCCATTTTTTCCTGACTGGTGTTTCTTAGTATATTCACAGAAAAGTTTGTGCAGCTTGTTCTGGAAGAGACTTTAAAACCACAGATGATAGAAAGAAGTGAGATGAAGGACACATTGCAGCCTCTTATTGTACAGATTTGTACCTGAGCAGCAAAACATAAGGTGCACAGCTGACACCAACTCATAACTAAAGCAAATCTCCTTTTTTTTCAGTTTCTCTGTGCAAGTGGCAAGTTAAGTCCAAAAATACCAAATGCTATTTCCTTTGAGCACAAGGCCCAAAAAAGGAACTGAAATGGACTTGATGAGTTGATGACAACTGATTTAGTTGTTCAGTTGCCTAACCCTTGTACGTATCCTGTCTTACAGAAGTATATCCTCAGACTAGAGACGCTTTCCTGCAGTATTGACATGGTGCAACTTCTTTATTTTAAAGATCTTCTTCATTTATACAGTTAATTTCACAATTTAATTGGGTATTAATAGGGCCTGTGCAGTTCAGTTCAGCACATCTAAATTAATTACTGGCGCCTTTCTGGCCCTCATAGAAATTGGGAGCAGAGGATGTGGTGTTTTTATTGTTTTTCTCTGGGAGTTCTGGTTTCTCCCACCTTCAAAAATAAGCTAGGTCCATGCTGATAATGTCATCTGAGGACACTCTTCTTTTTATGTCAAAGTTGTATCGATCCCAGAATTGGTGTCTGAGCCAGCACTCACCTCATTAAGCGTCTCAGGGTAACGCACAATTTGCAAACATATTTAAATATCAAAATCAGTAATGAGAGAGCAAAAACACTAAACATTGCAACCCCAGATATCCCTGATTATGTCCCATGTGTCTCTGATTAACTTTACAAAAGGTGCCAATGATGGCATACATTATTCTTTCATATAGGCAGAAAAATATCAGTAAGACAACTGCTGCGTAATACAACACAAACGTTCTGTGCTCAAGCAAATGCACAATATGCTAGAACTGTTTATAGTTATATAGTTCATAACAAACAACTATCCGAGCCGTACCAGACAGCATTGCTCTTTGTTCTCATTTGGGCGCCTGATATCAGCCCCCTAACTGTGGGTTTGATGTCAAACGGATGTATTTCTTAACGTGTTCATTTGCTGTTGTAAAATGAGCGTGGATTAAACTGCGTGCAGCATTGCAAATAGTCCACAGGCTGCTTATTACTTTCCAGGTAGGCTGCTTGGCACAGACAGCATTGTGTGACACACACGCTGTCATGGTTTTGCAATTTTTACATATATGCGCAGGCTGTAGCATCTCTAATCCGCTCTCTGCTGTCCAGCTCAATAGTACAGCTTTGTCTGCATCTAATGAGATTTTGAAGAGCCTGGAGCTCTGAGGTTGTCTTTGACAATCACTGCAACAGAAAGTGAACAGCCTGCGTCACACAGCAGCACAGCAATAACGTAGACAGAGAAGATAACGCCATAGGACAGAGAGGAAGTATTACATCTCAATGAAGGTGCTGCTGCCTCAGGTCACAGTTAATCTTACTTCTTCCTAAGATTAAGAGGTGACTTGTCAAGTAAGGTGTATAACCCTGCGTCATTAAATGTCTGGCCTGTTTTCATTCCAGTAAGAGACTTTACTTGCATAATGTAATTTTCAGCAAAAAGACCAGAAAACAGTTGTTTCAGAACATGCTTCATTACAAAATGTTATCTTTCTGCATAAATAACATTAATTTTTGTGATTATTTTTCAGCTGGGATATGTGAATGACTTGCTCCACGACCTGCCTTTGACCTCAGAGTCAGACTCTTCTGGAGAAGAGTCAGGAGGTGAAGAGGACAAGAAAGAAAACACTGTAGATGAAGACGATCAGGCCGAAGCTGCTAAGCTACCCGAGTATGTCAAGAAATTCAAGGTGGGTCTTTGTTTGTACTTAAAGCTCAAATTTGCATCAAATGTAATTATAGGGGCATGCTGGTAAAAACGAGGTTATAACTTAGAAGTCAAGCTGCTGTGAGCAGCATGCTTTGTTTTTTTTAAGGGACAGATTAAAATATAATTCTAAGGCAAGAGGTGGGGCAGAAGTATGTTTTCCCTCCCATTTGTCCATCTTTCAGCAAGATTACACAACAACCACCAAGCTGAAACCTGATGGAAAGGTGTAGCCTAGACAAAGGAAAGACCCATTAAAAATTTGATGTGGATCCAAAAATGCAAAATACCCTGTTGGGTTATAGGATACGCTTTCTGACTGCGCTCTAGTTTAAAAAGTTTCCCCTTTGCAAACAGCATAAGATGGGGTTTTTTTTGACTGTCAGAAGTGCTTTTCTCCATTCTGCCTACTGTCTTGTATTACCACTGAACTGATAATAAAATAAAAATAATAAAATTATTATTTTCTACTTATTTTTGAATAAGTGGACTGTTAAATAGGGATTCTTACATTTGTAGTTACGTTGTTGATTCTCTAAACGATAATTTATATATATATATTTTTCTCTTTAAATTAAAGCAAAGCTTCGGTTTGCATTTGTCGTTGCTCACTAAGGTGTAGTGGGCATGTTCTTGAGACCATGCTGAAAACATTTCCTTCCTCATAGAACATTTTCTTCCAAATTTTCCCAGCTGGCATTCTTCTTCTTCTTTCCTGGCTTTGTAGATCCATTAACGTTCCTGAAACATAACTACCACCTGTAGATCAGCGGACCAGTGTAAAAGCCTTAGCTGGGATGTGGATTTTATCAGTTGCGTGCATCAGGGTTTATAATGCTTCCTGGTGCACCTACAGGAGAACAAAGAAAACAGAGTCCAGTTTGCTGTAAAGGGGTGGTCAGAGCTTCTTTTTGCAAATCCAGATGTTGAGCTTTGACTTTCAGTACATTCTGATATCAAATGCTGTAGAATATGTGCACACACATAATTACTATTGGATACATGAAATATCTGCACCTGCCAGTGTTTTTATCAAATAGCTGAATCTGAATCATTATTGAATTCATTTTCTGCACTATGCATCCTGACATGCGCTGTATGTATCCACATAAAACCAGGTTTAATTTTTCAGTCTTTATTTTCTATTTATTTTAAACTCATAGATGTCAAATTATTGTTGTGTAGTAATGATGCAAATGGATATGCACTTATACCACAATCATAAATGATTGACCTTCTGAATAAAAGTAGGTAGGCTTACAGAGAAACTTTGATCTCAATACATATGGCATTATTGCCACAGGGTAAAGATACATTTCACTGGCTGATAGGCCAGGTGCCCCCTATAGGCATGTGTGTGGCTGCATCCAGAGGGGGATTTCCCCTCATGGCCAAAATGTTTGCTGGATGAAAATTTGGAACAAAATAGCTGCAACTGTTTATTTGACGTATGCGCATCATAAAAAAACAAACTACATTTGGTCATAGATTTAAGGGATATTTCAGACCACGAAGCTAAGATAATAAACACTGGAATTATTGGAAAGTCCGGTTGTTCTTGAATGCATCATATCTTGACTGTTTTTCTGTGCAGCCATGATTCTCGGTGTGCGTCACATATTGGAAGTGACTTTTCTGGGTCACAGGGTTTCACCCAAGTCATTTAAATGAAGTGATGAGATCATTCCTTTGTGCTTTCAACTTTTTTTGTTGCCCTGCCTCTCCAGGAATTGAACAGCCAGCTGGAGTCTCAGGGTAAAGTAGAGTCAACCTCTTTCCAGGATTTAGTGACCGCTCTGGCCCAGCAGAACCTGGCTGCTGCCGAGACACCGGACCTCGAGCAGTATGAGAGCCGGGTGCAGGCCTGGGAGGCCGAGAAGAGGCAGCTGATCCAGAGAGAGAAGGAGATGAGGGAAAAGGCTGAGCAGGAGAAACAGGAGCGATTAGCTGCCATGGCTGCAGCTCAGCAGGTGTAGAAACTTTTTACATGGAGCCAACTGTGACTCACCGAACTGTCCGTCGAGTACGTACTTTAAAATGTGTATACTTGTGAGTGTATTATTATCATTGCACCAGGTTCTGTCACTTATTACTTTTGTATATATCAATTATTGTGTTTGTGGCTCTGTTTTTATAGAATAGAGCTAATATAAATAGGCTGTCAAAATAAAACACACTTTCAGTTCTATCACATATTTGTATTTCACGTTTATTGTTTGTCTGTCGTGGACTATGGGATGATATCATCACTGGAACTTATGCTCACATCAATTGTTCAGCCCGATCGTAGGGTGACCTCATGTAAGCAAAAAGATGGAAAAGCTAGGGAAAGATCGTCCCATCACATCCTCCCACTCCTTTTCCTCTTTGCCTGCAGTCGTCTTTGTCACATGTTTGTGTGTTTTCTGTGTGCGCACGTCTGTCAAAAGCATCTTGGGGAGTTTTTTTCTCACGGGCCACATTACACAAGATATTTGCTGATAGCAAATCTAGAGAAAAACAAATTATTTGCCTAGAAAGGAATGCAGTTCTGACCAGAAACCTTTCCGTTCACATGAAAAAGCCAATAATGTTGTATAGCTCCTGATAAATGTAAGACCAGACAAAGTGCACATCAGGCTAAATTATTAGGAAACTATCTTCATAAAAGTTCAATGTCAGCTAATACAGAAATATCACTCTAATAGCAACGACACGTTAACTAACAAATGAAGTTTGGACTCTGCACAAAAGATAAGACAATAGATCTTTGGGGGGGGAAATGCTGTTGTGGTAGTGCAGATAATGCATTCATTCTACATTATGCTGCAGCTATTCAGTATTCAGAGCACGAGCTTGGGAAACAGCCTGGTATGCAGTCCAGGATGAATGAGCAGCACAAAACGCTGAAACAAGAACCATTGTGATCCCAAGGCACCTCACTAACAGTTCTCAGAGTGGCCCTGCATTCATAGTTGGTGTTTGGTTAATGGTGTTATTGCATAAATTGGACCACCTAGAGAAATATTAAAGCACGCAGGTGTTGAGTCACACTTTCAGCTCTGGCTCCACTTACTGATTTATAACTGATTATGAATTAAGACTTTGCGTTCTTAAAAGAAAAGGGTTACTAAATCAAGATTTTACAGTTTTGTGGTGTAAATGTTTGCACCACCTGATGAGGTGAGGGGACTCAGTGGAGATTTATAAACTTAAAGAGGTGGATTCACTGACTTTTTACTTGAATATCTCCTTTTATTTACATTGCACTTGTTATCATTAAGTAGAGTATATTGTATAAAGAGGGGTGGTAGATATACTGAAGAAAGGATGTTGAATGCGGAGATGCAGACCACAGAAAGGGCTCATGAATGTGGTGAAGGAGGGTTGATCTGACAACAGAGTGTCAGATCAACCCTCTCTTTTTTTATACACATGTAGCTCTTGCAGAGTGTTAGCGAATGCAACACAGTGTATATGAACCATCTTCATCAGTCTGACAGTTGGCTTTCATTCCTGCTACGCTTAGACCACCTTGACAGATGAATTTTCGGTCACATTCAAAGTCGCTTAAATCGCCTTTCTTCCTCTCTCTGATGATCAATTTAAACCTCAGCAGAACGTCTTAATATTTGGATAAAGAACTACCTGAATAGGTGCACCTAATAACCTGGCAGTTGAGTGTACACTACAGGAGAAATTCAGCTGATTCTTGGATGCCTGCACGAAGTCGCACAGTGGTGAAATATGTGCCACTAAAGTGTAATTACCATAAAGAAAAGTGCTAGTGTCCTTCTTCCAGCTTATCAGTGAAGTCTTTCTTCTTTGTACAGTCACAGATTATTTCCACAGATTCAGGCCTTTTTTTCTGTGTGTGATGCTTATCTCACAGCGATAAAGCTGTTGAAAATATATTAGCTCTAATCCTCATTTAAAAAAATTTAAAAAAGGTGGCCATCAGTCATTCTTTGGCAGGTTAAACATTGCTGGTTAACAGCAGTGACATGAGTATTTACTTTCTCTGCTGATGTCCCAGAAGCCTTTTTCAGGTGTTTGAGCACCGCTGATCAAGTCAAACAGGTGAGATGTCAGGAAGTTTGACATTCACGTCACTGGTTATCCGATGCCCAGAGCCTTTTAAGTGTGTTAAAACACCCATGTCTGTTTTCTTGGAGGAGAGGAGGACGTTGGCTAGCTATGATGTCATGGTTTATTTGAGATGTAAATATTAATCTCAAAGAGAAAAGCGTGTGCATTAGACATTATCAGAGCTGGGCTTGGATACAGAGGACTTGCTTCTATTTAAACCTTTTCTTAGACAAAGAAACCTCCCATGCCTTTGTTGGTCAGTAAATTTGTAAACAAGTCAACACGTTCTTATTTAATCTTTTAGGTTTAGCACGTGCTATCTCTGAACACCATGTTCTAATTGTGTCCACGTTTGGGAGAGTTTTATCTTCCTGCAGATGCATTTTCCTTGTTGCATGCCCCCCCCCCCTTCTTTTATATTTTGCTCCTTTTATTGATTAAGTTTGATATAAACATCTATAATTCTCCAAGGTGGGAGGGCACAGGTTGGTCCTTCTCTTGTAAAGCAGAAAAGATGCAAGATAAGATGGGTTATTATTAAAGACTTCTCACTGAATCTCCAGAGAAAGATGTTTATTAATCTTTCGTTATTCATCAGGGTCACTCACTTCATATTTAACACTTTAAAAAGATAAATGAAAACAAATAATGTTCAATTCATCTGTCCATTTGTTTAGAGGGCATGCATGGCTTTTATGTGTCCTGACGCTGGCGCATTGTTCCTATATTAAACGAATAAATTAAGGTGATGTGCAACGGCAATTAGACATTGGATTTATCTGCTGTCTGATTCATTTGCCTGTTATTTTGACACCGTGAGCTGAAATATATGACCTTATAAGCCAATTAAAATGCAATCAAAATAATGTTTTGCTCTCAGCCATTATCTACAGTTACATGGTAACTTTAAAATAATACTTTCTGACTTTGAACACCAGACTTTGACAGTGTGTAAGTTGGGTCTTAGTTAAACAACGCGAAATTTCCATATCAGTAAGTAACAATCAGGATTAAGCAAGTGAGCAACGAAGCAGCAACCTTCAGCGTTGCAGTTACTCAAAATGAGACCGGCCTCTAAAGCAAGTCAGTTCCCATAGAGGCTCATGGTTAAATTCCCAGCTTCACAGTAGAAATAAGCACGTTTACAGCGTGTTACGACACACCTGTACAGGTAATACAGTTTTGTATAACCCACCTCTGCAAATCTATTCACTTGGCTTTAATTTGAATCATTAAGATGATAATTTTTTCCTAAAATTGCTTTGAGAGGATGGGAGTAGGGGATTTTTTTAATTGCTGCTTTAAGGCTTAAATTTATGCATAATTAAAGGCACCCTGCTCCGAGTGATGCGTGGGTGCCCTGTGATCTCGTCCAATGCTTGATTGTGTTTAATTTGTCCAACAAGTAGGCTGTTTTTAGGTTTTAAGACAGCTTTTCACTGCTCAAATTTTGCATCCTGTTTAACAGTCAGACAGGGTTAGGATGATACAACTTGCTAATCAAACTAGCTGCAGGATAGTGCTTACTTTAGTTCTTAACTTCTGATCTTTTGTGTAAACATGGTAACTTCCAGTTTCAAAAGAAGAAAGACCAATGGCTAAAACAGTAAACAAAAGGCTTTAAGACCAGAGTTAATACAGTACTTTATTAAATTAATGCTTAACATTGAAATTTGAAAAGTCATGGATAACGGTAATTATATTTTTGCATAAAAATGCATAATTTCATGCTTGCACACAAAGGAGTAACCATTACAGAAAGATAAGCTGGTTGTAGCTGTTAACTGTGGTACCCATCTTTCATTAGGTGGTAATCTAGTATATTTGTTTGTAATGAATATGCTCTTGCACCTTTGTAAGTAGTCTCAAAATCCAGATTTGAATATCTGGATTTTTATTAAGCTGCTTGAATGGGAAATTTTTTATTTTAAATATCAGATGTAGCTGCACTTGAACTTGTGTTTTCCTTTTATCTGCGTCTAAATTGTTGATGTTTGTGAAAATCGTCATGCGTCCTGTTCAAAGACACCAATGACATCAGTGCAACGGAAATGATCTAAGTTATTCAGCAATCACGTGACATGACAGGGTAAACACGAGTTGTGTCGTAAAATCATTACAATTACAAATTATAAACCAAAGTCATATTCATTTCTCCACAATAGAGACAAATGATGAATACTTGTTATTTATAAGGACTGTTGTTGCTAGGTATTCCTGTGTCTGATCACAGGCGGCCAAAACATTTAATCAACAAAGCTTTTTAGAGTCACGTTGACCAAGCAGAGGTGGATGAACCGCGTCTGAACGTTCAGTGATGACATGACTATTTGGCAAGATGTCTCACAGCTGTCCCACTGAACTGATAAGCATGAAGAAGCGCAGTGGCTACAGCCATGATGTTGAAGCAAAAATAGAAGCAGCGGGATGTTTTGATATGAATCAATCCTCAAATACTGGAAAGAAATCTCACGTGCTCCCACTTCCTGTGACAGGACCATGTGAGGATAGCTGGCAAAAGTTTTCAGCAAACGTTATTCAAAGCCAAATGAAAAAATAGAATAAAATTTAAAAAAATAAAATTGTGTGTGTGTGTGTGTATATATATGTGTATATATATATATAACGTGTGTGTGTGTGTGTGTGTGTATGTTATGTAATATAATATAAGTATTATATATATAGATAGAAAGATAGATAGATATCTGAATGATTTGATAAAGCAGCTTCTTAATGGCGTAAGCATCAGTAATTTGAATGGAAGGTTTCCATTCAGTTACCTGCATTTCAAAGAAATGACACAGCAGGAGCTCACAAACAACATCCAGCATGTCCAAAACTAATTCGTAGACTCAGGGATTGGAATATAAATAAGCTAATTAAACGGTGTTCCTCATTTGTCTTGCTTTTGCCCTTTGGCTATAAGTTTGCTCCATCAGCAATACAGCTTCCTGCAGACTTTTTCCACTGTGCTCTAGTGGCCAAATATAGTCATCCGGTCATTTAAAGATTAGCAGAAAAAGTCCTTAATGTCTCTTTGGTTTGCTTTCCTTGCTAATGATTACCATCATAATGTCTTATGCGCAGCTTAAGAGAAGTAAGAGCTACAGTTTTTCCCAGGAATATCAATTGGCTGGATTAACGCTTCAACTTACCAGAATGTTGTTGTTTGACTGTTGCTACGATGAGTCACATCTACTTTGGAGAAAAACTTTCTGGAAGGAGAAGTGCTGTGTAACGTGTAAAACACAGACTCTTATTTGTCATTTTTATAAACTAGAGTGAGCCTCCTTCTCTGGTGTGGTGCGTACCAGCTGAGGAATATTTCACCCTATGAAGAGATATGTTCACTTTAGATGGATGTTTTAGTCTCGAATCTGACTGAAGGTCATGCTTGCAGGAACTGTGAATGAATATTTTTACAAGGTACACGTGATTAATTATGACAACTTCATCGACAGTCTAAACAAACTGGCAGAATCTGATCTAAAAAAACAAATCTACAAAAAAAGGGACTTGTTTCTGTTTGCAAGTTGGCAATTCAGTGCCAGTTCAAACAGTTTACATGTGATTCTCTGCGCCATGGCTTTGTTATGCTGAAGGAGATCGCATACGGATGTTATCTATAAATCAACCAGACCTCAAGATAAACACATCCTTGCTATTTCTAAACTTTACATTTAAAAACAAGCTGCAGGCAGAATGTCCTCAAGGACAACAATCCCGTCCACCTGGGCTTATTCCTGGAGATGCTGGGAATCTTTCGTCTGGTTTAAAGTAACTGTAAACTGCTCTGTTTAGAGCAACCAGGTCAGCCCCTTAAGCTCTGCGCTATTTGTTGATACATTAT